AACGAGAGAAACGTCGTCACTGACATCAATGACGAACGAAACAATAAAATCGAGCGTTTAAAAAATAAAACGCACAACTTCCTCCCAGAGAAACTTCGCTGATTTTCCATATATCCAGCCAGCATCCAGGCCAGAATCATTCATCCTCCCGACGTTCCATTTCAGGAGATGAATATCGATATTCCGGTTGAAACGTTGTCAGACGACGAGAGAAGAAGAAGAATGGGGGGAAGGAGAGTGAGGGGGGGGGGGTATCTTCATTTTTCACGTATTAAACGCCTTCGAAGAATCGGCGCGATGCCGCGAAAAATGTCGCGATTCACGGCAATTTGCGTCAACGCTCGACGGATAAAAAGGATTTTTTTTCTTTCCTTTTATCCCTCCCTCCCCCCCTCTCCCTCCCTCTCCCCGCGTCAAGGATACGGAGATGAATAGGAATTCGCCACTGCCTTGTTCGCCACTTGTCCGATCACAATCATGTTTGCATTTCCCTTATCCCCTTATATTCGTGGCTGACCCAACAAGTTTTATTCTACTTCCGTTTCTATACCACTACGAGTTTTTCCTCGATAAAACGATCAGATCAGATGGAAAGAAACATAAAACTTGAGGGAGGCGAAGTAAAAGGCGAATTAATATGAATTTTTTTTTTTTAAATTTTTTAAGATGTTATAAATTCTTGGAACCAGAATCGTTAACGTTGAAGTTGAAAAAGTAACTGGTTAAAAATTTCGAGCAAAGTTGCTTCAAGTAATTATAATTTATGTATAATAATATTTATTCAATTTATTACATATATTATCACAGTCATTATAATCGCTTTTCACAATTATTTCGTTTTAAACAATAAATTATCGAAATATGTAACTTCATTCCGTAACCAATTAAAATTTTTCTGCCAGAAAACTTGCATACATTTACTACATAAGACACGTATGTTCGTCTCAGCTGTGACACATAAACAGTGAATCAGTCAAGCTATGCATCATCCGTTCAGAATCCAGAAACGCTGAATTCTATTTCTCGACAATACCAGCCTCCGACTTGCCGTCATAAATCTTGCCTTTGTCCTAACGGCAAACGTCCAACAGTTATGATCCCAAGCTCGAGCTAATAAAAAAAGAACTTCCTTCTCGCGAATATCGAAATTTCTTTTCTCTTCTCTTCTCTTCATCGCTCCCTTCGTGAAAAAAGATTTCTTCCTTCGTCGAAATCGATCGAAAAAAACTCGTACAGAGAAAGAAAGAAAGAGAGAGAGAGAGAGAGAGAGAGGGATAATTTTTATATCCCTTGAATTTTTCAATTTGGTCGGGGAAAAAATGGCCACGGGAATCGCGTGACAATCGACGATCACTGGCCGCGTGGAGGCATCATCTCATCCGCTGGAGGAGGGGGGAGGAAAAAACTTGTCTCTCGTCGACAGTGAAAAAGCGGAGAGCATTCGTTAAAGCGACCGAAAATTAAATTCCCCGTTATTGATGACCAATGCCCCTATAAATCAAACTAACTGACAAAAAGTGCTCGCCGCCTGGTTGCGTCCATTCTCCCCTTCCTCCTCTCTCTCTCTCTCTCTCTCTCTCTCTCTCTCTCTTCGGCCCCCGTAAAGTTTCCATTTAACGGGAAAACGTTGGCTGTTCGATATCACGCGATGGTGTGAATCGGATATAATAGTGGTAAACACAAAGTTTTCCTGCCTCGATAAATGCAACACGCGTGTATCGCGTGTAACACCTGGAAATTTTCACCCGGTCACTCGTTCGAGGTGATAAAAATTACGCGTGTTGTAGAACACTCGAATTGTCGAATATAGCGCCATTTTTTTTTTTTTTTTTTTTCATAACTTTTATTTTACTATCACACTCTCGTCCGTGTCCTAACTACGATCTTCTTTTCTTTCTCTTTTCGTAAAATCTAGAAGAGAATTAACAAAGTATTAAAATAGGCAAAAATATGTTTCAAAGGGAAGAAAGAAGAAATTTCGGATGACGATAAAATCAGGGATTCGAGTCCCTGATTTTAGGATTAGGCATCGTCATCGCCATTCCGATGACTCTTGGCAACGATTCACGATGAAATCGGCTTACACCGATGGAAATGGGGACGTTGAACCTCGTACGAGTATCCTTCCGGATTCGCTTCAAGGATCGGTGGAAACGTAGAATTTGTAGCGTTTCCATCTACGATTGTACGATCGGAAACGGATAGTTTTTCCGTCCCATTCTCCATCCCCTTTCCCAAACAAACGACGCCGCTTTTGTTGCGTTGATCAATTCGATGATCACGTTGAAAATCTATATTGCGGAAGTGGAGACGATTAGTGGGAAAGGAAGAAGAAGAGTACAAGGATGATTGTACAATGTTACGATCGAAATATTTTACGTATCCGGAATCCAGGCGTCCTTAATCCCCGTATACTGTTGAAGGGTCAACCGTCTTGGCGAATAGTGTGCAATAGAGGCTGTAGATATACGAACACAGAAACGGAAGAAAGGCTGAAGTATCCTTGAAACACAAGAGGTATACGTTGAAAGATGTACATAGCTCGATAGACAGAGGATTTCTAGTGGCAAACAATCGCGATTGGAGCCGTCCTGGCTCGTCGTTTTCTATTCCCCGAACACGAGTGCTTGTCGTTGGAATTCCAATAACGTTTTTCGAATCGATATTCATTAGAGATCAAGTATTATTATTCGATTATTATTGTCGCGAACTACGATAAGGATAAGGCGTAATAAATTTAACAAATGCTATTTAACCTCGTGGAAACGCTGATATATATGTATATAAGAAAATTTGGAATAATATTTCATTTTATTTTATTAATCGCTGCTTTCAAAGTATCTTATAAAGAGGTTAGTTATAATTGGTGATGGAGGTGAATTTAATAGTTGAAGTTGCTAATAATGTTACTAATAATTATTTTAATAATTTATTGCTCAAAACGCAATAATAATAGCAAATAATTATGATTCTAAACGGTCGAGGTTACATGAGAAGGTTACGAATCAATTATAATAGCTATGGATAGATGTTATTCGAGCATTTTAATAAGTAATTAATTTAAAGTAATTAATTATTGGAGATTTTTAACTAGTTACTTTTTCAATTTAATTAAATTAGTTACTTTTTCAATTTAATTAAATACTCAATTCTGGTTACAACTTTTGCAATTATTGTAAAACAATTATAATAGCTACGAATAAATGTTATTTAAGCATTTTAATAAGTAATTACTTAAAGTAACTTTATTCGAATTACTTTTTTAATTTAATTGTAGAACAAATATTACAAATATTGCAAATATTGTAGAACAATTGTAGAACAACTATAATAGCTACGAATAAATGTTATTTAAGCATTTTAATAAGTAATTACTTAAAGTAATTTTATTCAACTTACTTTTTTAATTTAATTAAATATCTCCAAATCTGATTACAATTGCAATTATTGTATAATTTTGCAATTATAATAGCTATGAATAAATGTTACTCAAGCATTTTAATAAATAATTACTTAATATAACTTTACTCGAGTTACTTTTCCAATTTAATCGAACTCCCAATTCTGTTTATAATTGGAATTATCATAGAACAATTATAATATCTACGAATAAATGTTATTCAATAAGTAGTAACTAATATCTATGAGTAAATGTTACTTTTCCAATTCAATCGAACGCCGAATTCTGTTTATAATTGGAATTATCGTAGAACAATTATAATATCTATAAATAAATATTATTCAATAAGTAATAACTAATATCTATGAGTAAATATTACTCAATAAGTAATAATTTAATTTTAGTAAATAATTACTCAACTTTATTCGAAATTAAGTAGTAACTTTCCCAATTCTGGTTACAACTGGAATTATCGTAGAACAATTATAATATCTACGAATAAATGTTACTCAATAAGTAATAACTAATATCTATGAGTAAATGTTATTTTTCCAATTTAATCGAACTCCCAATTCTGTTTATAACTGGAATTATCATAGAACAATTATATCTACGAATAAATGTTACTCAATAAGTAATAATTAATATCTACGAATAAATATTACTCAATAAATAATAATTTAATTTTAATAAATAATTACTTTATTCAAAATTAAGTAGTTACTTTCCCAATTCAATCGAATGTCCAATTCTGTTTATAATTGAAATTATCATAGAACAATTATAATATCCACGAGTAAATATTACTCAATAAATAATAACTTAATTTTAATAAATAATTACTCAACTTTATTCGAAATTAAATAGTTACTTTGCCAATTCTAGTTACAACTGAAATTATCATAGAACAATTATAATATCTATGAATAAATGTTACTCAATAAGTAGTAACTAATATCTATGAGTAAATATTACTTTTCCAATTGAATCGAACTCCCAATTCTGTTTATAATTGGAATTATCGTAGAACAATTATAATATCTATGAATAAATGTTACTCAATAAGTAATAACTAATATCTACGAGTAAATGTTACTCAATAAATAATAACTTAATTTTAATAAATAATTACTTTATTCTATATAAATTATTTAATATATAATTACTATTATTATTTACTATTTACTATATAAATTAAGTAGTTACTTTCCCAATTCAATCGAATGTCAAATTCTATTTATAATTGGAATTATCATAGAACAATTATAATATCTACGAATAAATATTACTCAATAAATAATAACTTAATTTTAATAAATAATTACTCAACTTTATTCGAAATTAAAAGTAGTTACTTTCCCAATTCAATCGAATGTCCAATTCTGTTTATAATTGAAATTATCATAGAACAATTATAATATTCACGAGTAAATATTACTCAATAAATAATAACTTAATTTTAATAAATAATTACTCAACTTTATTCGAAATTAAGTAGTTACTTTCCCAATTCAGTCGAACGCCCAATTCTGGTTACAACTGGAATTATCATAGGAAAAAATAGATTTGGACGTAAATGTAACGAATATTGTGATTGCAGGCCGCGTGGGTTTCTCTGAGTCGGGACCGACGATAGCAGAGCCGCGATAAAAATGAGCATTCTAAACGCGGATTCGGAGAACCGCGTGACCCTGAACGTGGGCGGTATCCGGCACGAGACGTACAAGGCGACCCTGAAGAAGATCCCCGCGACCAGGCTGTCGAAGTTGACCGAGGCCCTCGCCAATTACGACCCGGTCTTGAACGAGTACTTCTTCGACAGGCATCCGGGGGTCTTCGCCCAGGTGCTCAACTACTATCGCACGGGGAAGCTCCATTACCCGACCGATGTGTGCGGCCCCTTGTTCGAGGAGGAGCTCGACTTTTGGGGCCTCGACTCCAATCAGGTGGAGCCGTGTTGCTGGATGACGTACACCCAGGTATATGAACGTTCGAACACTCATCTGTCGCTTCTCCTTTTTTTCTTTATTGCCCTTTTCACTTGTGTATTTTACTTTAATCGTGTAGATCGGTCTTTGTGGATGCAGATTGAATAATTCTTTTTTACTTTTTTTTTTTATTCGTTGAATCGTAGCTCGATAACGAAGCTTTCATTTTCTGGGGTCGTTTCTCGTTTTGTAATTGAGATAAAGAAGGGATGTTAAATCGTTATTTCGAGGAAACGCTCGAGTCAAGCTTTTTTTTTTTTTTTNTTTTTTTGCTATTGTTAGATGTAAAAGTTTCGATCGAAAGTTTCAAAGTTTTACTTATGTTTTATATAGATGTGTTCCGTTGCTTGTTTTCGTTCGTTGCTGTTAAGTTATTCTCGAGAGTCGTTGTTTACGTTAATAAACCGAAAGAAGTGCGTTTTTAGGTTATTTGGAATTAGTTGAAAATTACAAGTAAAAGTAAAAGGGTGATAAATATATTTAAAAATTTTGTTGCGTCGATATATAACGAGTTCTCGAATTCTGATATTTATTTATTTTGTAACGCCTTGGCCAATTTTCTTAGAAGATTTTTTTTTTTTTTTGAAAAAACATTTCACATGTATATATACATATATATATATATATTTTTCCTTCTCTTTATAATTATTGCATCAAACAATTTGTACAATGTGACAAGAAAAATCTGCATCCACAATCACACTAGTAAATACTGCATTATATTTTACAATATAATTGGAATGTGTTTGTCATGTTTGTTTATAATACCATTTTATATTCAATCTAGATGAATAATCGCATAGATATAAATTGCACTACGCAAACGGTGCGACACAAGCATAATGTTGACTTTACTCGATGATTAATTACAATCATTTTTTTTGATTAACGATGTACATACACTTATCTATTTGTACAATGCGAACCTTACAAAATAATCGGCACTTACTACATGCATCTACTTTCACGATATATTCTCAATATTCACAGATTCGTTTCACTGGGTGAAATAACGATCGATGATCAACGTCAAATATTATGATATTAAAAAATTATAATATATATATATACATATATATAAAGCTTGTCAGATCTGTTGAAAATGGAAAATGGAAATCAGAAATGCAAAAGTAAATCCGTGTAATCCGTCTTCTTTTTTACTTACATTCTTTTAAATTCTCCTCGTTTCTTCCCCCCTTTCTCTGTTTTAAATTGCATGGTACACGCACAATTATCGATCGATATTTCGTGGAAACTAGAGCACCGTGTACGAGACAAGAGAATTGATGTCTCATACCATGCACATGTACAAGAAGCAAGAATATGAAAATAATCGAAAATCACCAGAGGAAAATTGTCGCGAAATTTATTGTTATCTCCCCCCTTTTTTTATATATTTATTAACAAATTAATTAATATCGATATATATATATAATAATAATAATAATAATGATGATGAGGAACGCATTTGGAAATGCATTTATAACGTTGGAAAAATATTTTGAAATTTTCTCGAGTACTTTTTTGCTTTTTTCGAAAAGCTTTTTTTTTTTGTGCGATTTTTTCGAAATATTCTTTTTCGAATGAAATGCTGTACAGATATCTGTCGGATAAATCTGAACGATTGATGCTCGTTTATTAAAATTTTCCAGCCAAACTCCGGCAAATTGACACATTTTCAGGAAGAATAGAGCTCGTCGATTGTTATTTCCACGAAAATTAATCCCGCTATTTCCACGCCGCGAGGGAAAAAAAAGAAAAAAAAAAAAAGCTGGCACTTCGTGATCGTCGCATTAACGGGATCAAACGAGCCGATCAAATAAATTGCATTTTGTTTCCTTCGTCCCGTTGTTAAGATAAATACACGGCACCGATATAAAATCGATGGAGCTACGTAATTAATTAATCGCCTCGAGTGGGTGAGAAATAAAATTGAATTTATCCGATCGTTTCCCTTTGTCGTTGCCTTCCTTTTTTGCCCCTCTGTTAACGCTTCCTCGCGATATAATATTTCTATATACAAATATTAGGAAAAACGATAAAAATTGGTACGTGATTGCGGAGTAAAAAAAAAGGGGAACGAAGAAATTACGATTTAAATATACACAGAGAATAATAAACACGTGAATAAATTAAATGTTTTAAAAATTTTAACATTACTCGTAACATCACTGCTCTATCCGAACTTTCTCGTATTTCTCGTCAACTTATTATCCATCTTATGGACGATAGTCCATAAGTATCGAAGAAAATGGCGGCCATTTGCCGCTTCGACAGTGCTCGATTCGCGTTCGAACGAAAGAGAAAGGGAAACGAGAAATTTGCGCGATGGTGTGTGTACAGGAAGGGGATTTTGATTAAACGCCGTTGATTCGCGGCGCGTGTGAAGATATAAGATAAAGTGGACGCGATTCTTCTCGTGTTTCGATAAAATTTATACACCTATTCGTCCGCGTTAAGTCTGAAAGATTTGTCTGGGGGCAGTGTTCGAATTGGAAAAATATATTATTGAAAAAATGAAATGTCAGGAATTTGCACAGGGAATGAAAGAAAAATATCGAAAATTTTCTTCGAGAAAACGCTCGATCTTGGCTGAGAGATGAGATAAAACGTTAAAACGTTTGTTCGAATCACGTTGCATTTCTTACGCCGTTTTCGATGAAAATGAAGAATGGATATTTATTCCGTGTAACGCAAATGAAACGTCCATCTTTTCAACGTTTTTCGGTGAACCAGCGTTGATACGAAAATAGCAAACGTTATTCGCGTAACGCGCATATTTGAAATAATAAAGTCGTAAATCACGATGGCCACGTTGCAATACGTACGAATATGCATATACGTGCACATTACCCGTTTCGTGACAGTGGAAAATTAAGATGCTATCTCTCGGTCGGTGGTCGGATGATAAAATCGTTCGTAATGTAACGGAGGTATAAATAATATTAACTTCGTTTCCTCATAAGAAAAAAATTTCTTATTTAATTAGAGCAATGCCATATTTTGTTTAAAAAGTTTCGTTCGTGCAATTTTTGATGATATTTGTGTTTGAAAAAAATAAAAAAGAGAGAAAGTTTACCCCGTCGATATTATACGAAATTATTTCGAGAAAGTGAAGTTTATCTCAACGAACGGAGAAAATATTGCATCATTTTCAAAGGGGGCTAGCGAATGAAACTCTGTTTAATAATAAATTTCCACCCCTTTATATACCATATGTAAAATATACGTATTTTAATATCGCACAGATATTTATATATGGAGACGGAATCGATATATCAACACCTTATCAATTCGATAAATTCGCGCTGTGGTGTTCGAAATGTCAATAATATATATATCTAGTTGCAAAGTCGAAATGAAAACTGAAAGCGTCGATAAGCGTCGATAACTTTAACAGAGGGATAGAGAGAAGGAAAGGAGAGGAGGAAAGGGCATTATTTAATTGGATGGATGGGCGATGTAAGGTTTGAAAATTGGCGGGAATTTTGAATTTTCGAGGTGGAGGATTTCGACGGGGAGGAAATTTATGAACGCGATTCTCGATTCGTTTTAACGATCGTGTAAAGTGGTTACACGACGAGACATGGGCGTTTCTGACCGATTAACCGCACGAATCACCACCCCGTGCTTATACCGTCTTCTAATCGGGGTCGTGTAGTAAGTACGTACTCGAACCGGTTTCCGGTTCTGATGTACCGCATTCGCCAAAATCCAGTAACGACAAGGTTCCAGTAATATTCAAATGCGGCCCGCCGCAATCATGGCATACCATTCCACGAGTCTATCGTGCATTATCTACATTATCCAAATTGTCAATCGATGACCAATTAGGCACAAAGTACGACTGTGCCTGGCAATTATTCGTGGAATCACGCGTTCACGAATTTCACGTTTCTTTCTTAGTAGGAGTCATGCTCGCGCCTATTACTTATAATAAATTGTGGATTTATTATTATTTCAGAAATATGTTTTCTCTTTTCTTTTTTTTTCTTTTCTAATTCCTTTTGAATTTCTGAAATTAAATTTAAATGTTACGATATTGAGTATCTTGCTATACAAAAATAATCATAATAAATCGATCTCTCTTTATTTGAGAAAAGAGAAAAAAAATATAATAGTGGAAGAATTTTTTTAAATAACTTAATAATGAAATAATAAACGGATTCGACGTGCTTTCTAAAAGGAGCTATAAAAATTTCGTGAAATCTTGTAATACACGAAAATAATTATAACAAATCGATCCCTCGTTAAATCTTTATTTGAAAAAAGAAAGATAAAAATATAATAGCGAGAGAACTTTTTTAAATAACTTTTTTAAATAACTAATGAAGCAATAAGCAACTTCGATGTGGTTTCTAGAAGGAGCCATAAAAATTTCGTGTATAAAACTTAAATATTGTGATATTAAGTATCTTGTAATATGAAAATAATAAATTTCTCGTTAAATCTTTTTTAAAAAAAGGAAGACAAAAATGTAATAAGAATTTTTTTAAATAACTTAATAAGTAATAATAAGAGTAATAAGCGAATTGAAAGATGAACAATTTCGACATGGCTTCTAAAAATTAGTATGAAATTTAAATATAATTATATTAAGTATCTTTTAATACGAAAATAATCATAATAAATTGATTCCTCGTTAAATCTTTGTTTAAAAAAGGGGGGCAAAAATATAATAGCGAAAGAATTTCTTTAAATAACTTAATAAGTAATAAACGAGTTAAAACATGATTTCAGCATGGCTTCTAGAACGAGCTATGAAAATTTCGTGTATGAAATTTAAATATAATTATATTAAGTATCTTGTAATACGAAAATAATCGTAATAAATCGATTCTTCGTTAAATCTTTGTTTTAAAAAAGGGTGGCAAAAATATAACAACGAAAGAATTTTTTTAAATAACTTAACAAGTAATAATAGAATAATAAGCGAATCGAAAAGTGAGCAATTTCGACATGGTTTCTAGAAAAAACCATGAAAAATTGGTATGAAATTTAAATATAATTATATTAAGTATCTTGTAATAATCACAATAAATCGATTCCTCGTTAAATCTTTATTTAAAAAAGGGGGGCAAAAATATAACAGCGAAAGAATTTTTTTAAATAACTTAACAAGTAATAATAGAATAATAAGCGAATCGAAAAGTGAGCAATTTCGACATGGTTTCTAGAAAAAGCCATGAAAAATTGGTATGAAATTTAAATATAATTATATTAAGTATCTTGTAATAATCACAATAAATCGATTCCTCGTTAAATCTTTGTTTTAAAAAAGGGGGGCAAAAATATAACAACGAAAGAATTTTTTTAAATAACTTAACAAGTAATAATAGAGTAATAAGCGAATCGAAAGGTGAGCATCGTGAAACAATTTCAACATGGCTTCTGGAAGAGATTGAGCGCGCATGAATATTTCATACTTCTAGGTTCCGCTATCGGCATTGGCCAGCAGGAAGTTTTAAGCGAAGCGTATATCTCTCAACGTGCAATTATCGGTCGTTTTTAAGACGTATTAAAGTCTCGATAGCTTGTTTAACGACTACCAAACTATCGCGCAATTTGTCTTACTTACCATTAAAAACGGATACACCATGGTGTATTCACCATAATTTCGATGAGCGATTGTTTCCGTTGGATAAACGTTGACTTTATGACGACGAATAAAGTTATTTTTTAAGAGAATCGATATTTTAAGCTGCACGCAGAGAATTTCTGCATTTTACATAGGATTAACATTGCACGGTTCATTGGAATGAAGAAATGAGAATTTATCCGTTTCGTATGCAAGGGGATATTTTCTATAGAATTAATTCAATTTTTTCGAGTTATAAAATAGCAGATCACGGGTTGCTAAATGAGCTATCTTGAAAATTTAATGCCAATTCATATACCGAAAGAATTTCAAAATTATTTACTTTTCTATTTAATTTAATAATTTTTTTTTTTTCTATCTAATTTAATTCACTTTCTTCGCTTCTATGATTTTTCTGTACCATATTTTCTCTATGAAAATATTTCCAGTTTTGAGTGAAATATCAGAAATTACGCTTCCCTTTTACGAAATATTTTGTTAAGTGAATTACCATTTTGCCGTAAAAAAATATATAGCATAACACACAAACTTTGGTTGTATTTTTTCTTTTAATTGAAGTTAATTTAAATTAACTAACTATAATGTCATTTGTGAAAAAACCTTATCAAAATTTTCTGGATAATCCGAAAAGAATTTCTACAAATAGTACATTTAAAGTATTCTAAATAATTCCAAAAATTATTCCGTAATTTTATTCCAAAATCTACGAATTTACATATTAATAAATCAAAAATCGAAAAAGCAATGTCAAACCACCAAAAAAAAAAGAAAATCGAAACGTCCCCCAAAGTTACCCATAACGCGATGAAAAAAATTTCAAATTTTCAATTTGAAAAAGTCAACAAAAAAAATAAATAATAATAAAAATCACATTCCCAAAGCTAGGACTTTCGTGGTCACAGCACTACAAAGAAAGGCAAGAAAGCAACATCCGTTCCAATTTTAAAAACCTCGATCGTTCGATGACGACGAACGAACAACTATTACGATCGAATTCCAGTTAGAACGCGAGGTGAAACGAGACCAAACGAGTCAAAAAAAGAAAGAAAGAAAGAAAAAAAAAAAAAAACAGGTGATTAATCGTGAGACGAAAATGCGATTCCGTGGGAATGTAGGTTGAACGCTAGTAGGCGATGAAACACTAGGCTCGTGAACCCGATTCGAATTAATTACGTTCCGGTGTGACCAATAACAGAACTGATGATTTGTTCATCGGTCGGTATAACAGGACGGCGATCCGGACGATCAGGTGAAGAGAGAAACTGATTAAATCGGTGTGTTTTTCCCCTCTCTCGAAAGTTGTTCTTCCTTAATTATTGTGTTAGCCTTGTATAAAACGCAATCAGTGATTGTTTCTCGGGCAGGAATATTAAATGTTTGCGTATGCAAATTGGAAACAGGGGAATCGAAGAGATTCAGTTCCCGTGTTTCGATTATTATCATTTTATTAGCTTTTGTTTTTCTTCTTCTTCTTCTTCTTTTTCTTCTTTATGAGATCGTGAGAATAGTGGTTGTAATAAAAAAAAATATATATATATATACATATCATGTATATAAAATTAGAAGAATATCTTTCGATTCTCGCAATTTACATTTTTTCTTTTCCTTTTTTGGTAGATTGGTGAATGAATTTGGTAGATTTAGTGAAGAATTTTCTCCATTTCCTTCTTTTCCTTCCTTTCTTCGATATCTCTGCATATTTATACTTTTATATTCGAACAATTGATTTTTAGAATCTATTCTACATCGATCTGCATGTTTTTAAATTTAATTTTAAATTTATTATACACACATATATATATATAAATAAATCAATCAATCCTGGAATTATTATTATTGTCTCTTTCATCATTCTATATATATACATAAACAAAAAAATATTTATGTATAATTTTATTCAGTGAAGTAGCTTTGACGCAAATAACGATGCTGGTTTCGAAGCTATATCATTTAAAATATACGATCGAGCATTATGATAAATTCATTGGTTCGAAACGACGCCTCAAACTTGTTTAATAAACTTTCCAATCGAAAACTCGTCAAATCGTTACATCAATAAAAATAATCGCGATCCCATGGCCTCCATTCCGAGGGGTTACAAGCCCTCGAGAAGTGTTGGTCGGATAACGATAAAGGAATAGCACAACGTGCTACATGATTTAGAAGACCTAAGAGATCGTGGAGCATAATGGGATCGGGTAAATTGATGATGGCTCGGTTGAATCCGCGACCAACGTGTCGTCACAGACGCCATTTATACCCCCGTGGAAATCGCCAATTCCACGTGGCAGTCGAAACAAATGCGCCACGTGGGATGACTGGGGGATCAGTGGGATCGATGCCTCCTTCCGTCCTTTCGTGAAACGATGATGCGCGGCAGGATAGCTGGGATGCGATTGGTTACACAGTGATCGTATTATAAACGAGGGGATTAGAGGAGAGGCGTTTAATATAAGAACGTAATAAGAAAGAGAGAAACGAGATATCCGTCTTTTCTTAATCGCAACGAGAGATACCTTATGGAAGAAGAGAAAAAGTGTGAGAAAGAATTGAAAAATGAATTTTTCTTTTTTTTCTTTTTTTATTTTGGAAGAAGTGAATTGAAGGAATCCAATGATGTTCGACGAGAAACTCTCAAATAGTGATACCGTACACTTCCAAGTTTCAAATCTGGATTGGAAAACATTGAATCCTCTCTCTTCCTTCCCTTACAACATCGAGTCGGGCTCTGTGATCGAACCACCACTTACAAAGAGATATGACGTAGTCAAAGACGAGTCTGTATTTGAATCCTTTGAAGGGATTAAAGGATTAATGTTTCCTTTAATCAACTCAAAAACTAAGATATTAATAATAACTTATATAAATCTACGTCGTCGAATTAATCACAAAGAATCGTGAAAGGAAACATTCGTCGAAAGATCGCAGGATCTTTTTTATTCTCGAATCGCGTACGTCTCAAGCATCAAGATGGAGTCAAACGAAACGTATCTCTTTTTCACCCAAACAATACAAAAATCCAACAAGAAGCATAAGAAACATAGAAAAAGGATAGGAAAAAGTTTCGAAACCAGCCAGAGTTAGAAACGTGATCGTAGACAAAGTAAAATTTGGAATGATTTTTTTCCTTCCATATGTGTGTTTCACGCTATATATATATATATATATATATAT